CTATATGCCTCACTTATCTGTATGTCAAGCTCTTTTCCCCTGCTTGGGAAGTTTTCTGCCATTACTTCTGTAAACAGTTTTTTTTATGTCATCTGCACTCTCTCTTGTTTCTTCTTTGACTCCAGTCAGTCCTATGTTATCTTTCTTTGCATTGTCTAGCAGCTGCCAGATTGATTTCTCATGGTCCTGTACAATTTTAAAGCAATTTTTCTTTTCCTGGTCACTAATTGCAATCTTATCTTCTTTATCTGAGATTCTGTCCTCACATTGGTTCCTTCCGCTGCATAGACTTTCAATGGAGTTTTTAGTCTCTTGGAAATCTGTTTACATCTGTTTTATGGATTCCATTTGTTTCCTATGTTGGCATTCCATCATGTTCCTCAGCTCCTCTATTTTTTTTATCTGTGTCCTCTCTAGATTTATTAATCATGTCTTGCACTATGGTCACAATCTGTGCTGTTATGTGAAAAATTATTTCTGATTTCATTTTTTCCAGATCCTCTTTCATTGCTAGTTCAGGGAGTCCAGGTAGTTGAATATCAGAGTGTTCCATCTCGTTTCCCTTTGGTGTTGCTGTAGATGATCTGGAAGTCTGATTCTGAGGCTTGTTTACATGTCTTCTCATTTTGCTGGAGGGGGGATGCTGCTGGCGCCCACGTGGCTCACCTCCTCTGTGTGGCTCACCTCCTCTGCGCTCCTCTGTGTGGCTCACCTCCTCTGTAGCATGCTGACCTGGAAGCCCCCTCTGTGCTGGGAGCTATGGCATGCTGACCTGTTTCCTGTTTTCTATCCTGTTTTTGCGAGGTCTCACTATGTTTTGTTTTGCTTGTTTGTTTTTTAAAAACAGGATGTCACTATGCAGTTCAGTCTGGCCTTGAACTCACTATGTTGCCCAAGCTGGCCTTGAACTTGGGTAGATCCTCCTGTGTTAGCCTCTGGAGTGCTGGGATTACAGGCTTCAGTGTATTCTTTGAAATGAGTGAAAAGACCTAATGGATCTCTTTCCTACAAACCTTCTGAAGAAATATTTTTCACTTCAGAAAGCTTGGGCTTTCATATTTCATAAGTTGGAAAAATTTAAGCCTGCTTGATTTAAGCTCATATTGTACTCATTATGAAGATAAATGGAATGAATCACCTGCTACACAAAGCAATTGCAGACAGAACTTGAAGCTATATATCTTTCAAAAAATTTTCTTACCCAATCAATAAAACAGCAATGCCTGCTCTATCAGGAATGCTATGAATTGTTCTGATTCTGCAATTATAGAAAGGTATTACTACATGATTACATAGTTGGAGATCAATTCTTTAGGAAAAAAAACCTTTATCCTAGGCATTGTGATTATTCAGAAGTTATTTAACCTGACACTAAAACAAAAGTAAAACAACATATTTGGATAGCCACAGTCATATTAAATTCTGTAATCATTTTCTGTAAGTATTTGTTAGAATGTAAATAAAAGTAAAAAGGACTTGATTTCCTTTCCCATGCAATGCGTTCCTTAAACTTGCATTGGATTAGCATTTATTTTTCTACAGGCTTGGAAGGTTTAGACAAGGAATAATAGTGTGACCCTGATTGCATTATCCAGGTCATTGATTTGAGATCATTTGGTACAATATGTCTATACATTCGGGTCTATGTTAGAAGATGACATCACTGGCAGTGTTACTATCCATACAAAATAGTGTGTCAGAAGAAAATAATCCATGCATAATCAGTGGTCCTTTGTGAATAAAATTGAAGCTGTTTATGGTTATCTTGCAGCCTGCCTTGCCCTTTTAGTAAAGGCACAAAGCAAAATCTCACATTATTTTGTTGCTGTATTACAAGGGTCCTGACATTTGTTGGTGTTTGTCTGCACAGCACAATGTCTGCACTGTCCTATCGTTGTAAGGATTGAGCTGCTATTCTCTCTCTCAGATGCAGAATGTACAAGTCTTGAAGGATCTGTACATGGAGACTCTAGTTATGTCTTAGAATAAGACAGGACTTCAGTGATGAACATTTAGGCAATATGCAAATAGTTGCTTATAGGTGCAGGGACTGGGAATATCTATTGAAAATAGGGTATATGGTTTCCAGAGATCATCCCACAGTCGAGGGGCTGTCATAATTGGAAAACTTTCTGTTAATAGATGGAGTCTGAGTAATAATGATTAGTGTCTCAAAAATTACCAATTACTTTAAATCTTCCTGATGGTTAAGAATCTACATTGCTGGAGGAATGTACAATATTGTCGGGCTCACGTATTCTTTTCTTCAACCTGCAGAGGACAGTAGAGAGTAGGCGGCAGATAAAGCATTTCCTTTTTCTTTTAT